CTGTGACAGAACGGACGAGCAGTGAGGGGAGAGAGAGGCGCCGGCTGTCAGATCCTGGCCGGGCGTCTCTCTCTCTCCTCACTGCTCTGCATTAGTTAGTGACAGCGGCTCCGTCCTCCGCCCTCCCCCGCCATGAGACATGGCAAAATGAGGTGGCTGCTGTGCGGGCCACATTACAAGGTCCGGCGGGCCGGATTCGGCCCGCGGGCCTTGTGTTTGCCACCCCTGATCTACACCAAAGTCTAGGGATCTGCCCTTGAAAAAAAGTCTTTATAAAGCTGCCAACTTTAACCACTTGCTGTCCGGAACAATTTCTTTATATTTACACACACATGATAAAATCAGAATTTTTGGATAGAAAACAGCTACAGACCCTCCAAACAATTATATATTTTCTGTAGAATAAAAAAAATGCTAGTTGCTATTTTTTATGTGGCACGGTTATAAACTGTTATATAACTGGTTATAAAACCAGTATTGTTAGGATAAAATATAATAAATGAAATTTAGTGCAAGAAGCAGAATAAAATACCCAATTGTTTGGTAAAATATAAAAGATGGGGTCATGTCGGGTAAATAGATACCAAACATGTCAAGTCTTAAAACTGTGTTCGCCTGTGAAGCCGCAAAAAACTTCACTACCCCAAATTTCCAATAGGGGACACTTTAAAAGCTTTTATCGCTCATTAGTTTAGTGTTAACAGTGATTAATGGCTCTAGAATTATTGCTCGCACTACGTCGTTCGTGGCAATATGTAAGACATGTAGTGCAATTTAAATTTTTGCATGTAGGCGCACCGACATGTGTTTGCCTATGTATGTGTGTGCGCACATGTGGGGTGAGGGACTTTGATTTCTTTTATATGTTACTTGAATTTTTTCTTTTTTGGAACAGTTTTTTTTTTACACTAATATTTTGCTTTTACATAGTCCCTTTTGTGATAGCAAAATCCCTAACAAGCCCCCTATATAATAGCAGATAGGGTGTGACAGGTTCTCTTTATGGCGACATCAGGGGTCTTTCAGAACCCTAATGTCACCTAGGGACCCCAAAGAAGCTGAGAAAGCACAGATCTGCTTCCCCAGCTTCTTCTCCTGGCTCTAAGAGCCAGAGAATGTAAACAGTGACACCGGAAGTGATGCAATACACATCACTTCCGGGTCCAGTGATCGGAGGAGAGATCAGCGGCTGGAAACCTGCTGATCTTTCTCTGATCGTTGATGGGAGACCCAGGGACAGAGGAGCCCAAGAAAGCTAGCAGCGGCGGAGGGAGGTAGGGGCAGCGCATTCCGTGGATCAGTACAAAGGATCTGGTGTCTGTATAGATGGCGGATCACTTGTACATTAACAGCAATTGCCGGCTGTTTAAAATGACACCAAGAACACGGCTGCAGAAGCAGCGACTGTGTTCTTTGTATAACCACTTCTGTGGGCTGCCGTATATTTACGTATTGAGGCCAGGAAGTGATTAAAGAAGAACTCCGGTTGTGGTATGTCCCTCGGCGTCCTCACATCTAATGCAGGTGAATGGACCTGCAATAGACGTGATTACATCAGCGGGGCTTAGACCGCCGGAGGGGAGAAGAGGCTGTGGTGACAGGTCTAGCAACCAATTTTTTTCATTCCTGGAGTTCCTCTAAAAAAAAATGTTGAATAGAGTAAAGAAGGATTATAACGCTGGTTGTTTCTTTATTGCTCTCAAGGGCTCGGAGATTTACCCCTACTTTTTGTACTGCTGACAATGGTTTCACCTACAAGAGGGATAATCCTCACTAGGAACAGAGACACAAATAAAAAGATGATGGAAGTTCTAGCCTTCCTCTTCTCTGTAGACTACATTAGAAAATATAATTTTATTTCTTCCTGTGTTGATGCTGGAAAGTTCTGCTCACTTCCTACCTTGTCAGCGGGATGGGAAGTGAGGGGAAATTCCTCTAAGAGTTCTGGAGAGTAAAAACTTGGGCAGATTCTAACCTTTCACATCTCTGCCCAAAATCAAGAAAAGCTTTTTAGCTGAACATTTAAAGCTGCTGGGATTATTTCGATCCCCCTGCCTCTCTCCCACACCGCACAGACCCCTCACGGCACTTCAGACGAAGTCCCCTCTTCTCATCTACACTCTCCCGTGGATATACCTCTTGGATTAATACATCGATCACAGTCGGACACCACACCACGAGTGCCCCGATCCTCCATACCGGCCGTCCATCTCCAGATCCTGGCATTCACACGTAAGTGCCACCACCTTCAGTTTTTCATCACTACTTTGTTAACTAGCCAGTGTTCTCTGCGCCCTTTCTTGGTTTTTTGAATATTTACAATCCACAGGTTCTCCTCCTGTTTTCCAGGGCTGCACACACGCCTCTAAGCTAATTTGTTGCCCATCCGAGAGCGCTGTTTATATTTTTTTTCTGGGATTATTTTGAGCATACATCTATAAAAGCCAGAGGACACAAATTTTGTCCATTGTCGTATAAAGTAAGCATGTCAGGTTTTTATTTGACTAAAGCTGTTAATGTCTAGAATGATTTTTCTAACTATTTCAATAAAGTGAATGCTTTTATATTTTTTCATTTATCCCTGTTTGAAAAGGAGAGAGTGATTATCCAGCACTGAGTAACTCAGGTAACCTTAGCCTGGCTAGATATGGCTTGGTGGTGGGAGCATTCTCCATTGGTGCTAATTTTTAATGAATGCAAAAAAAGAAATCAAATTATTATGGAATTGGGTGTTTTTGAAATTGTCTATTTTTTCTTACCTAATCTTCAACACTACAAGGCTTATCTGTATCTGTTTATGGCATAGTGAGTGCTAAAAACACGCAAATTCTAATGTCTATTCTGCTGTCTTTGATTTGCCTACCAATAGATTAAAAAAACTATTGACTTGAAGGTTTAATGTAATTACTTTATTGACAGTAGAATGTACAAACCCCACCTTTGCCTCGTGTCTTAATTGCAAGGTGGGTGTCACTAAGCCTGCTCCTGAGACATAAAAGACAGGTATACAAGTCTCTAGTTCATCAAGCATATGTTATGGTATGGTGTAAAATTGCAATTTTTTTTAAAGTAAATTAATTTACATTGTAATATAATAATAATACCTTTTATAAATATAGGCCTTAGACAGCACCATAAGCAGCAAATTAGGAATTATATTATAGGCTTTGCACAGATACCAAGTACAGTACTCGGTACAAGTACGAGTACATGTACCGATACTTTTGAGCTCCAAGACTAGACTAGAGAAAAATTCAAAAATTAGGAGGCAGCTGTCATTTGTAAGGAGCACACGGAGCTCCTGGGATTTGTACATCTCTGTTTTAATGTATGATTTTGTTTTTATAAATATAAATAAAGAGATGCACAGATACCAGTTTTGCGAGTGCGAGTACTGGTACTTGCCGAGTACTTACAAGTATGAGTACTGATACATTTTTGTTTATTGTCATGTGACAGTTTTTCTAAATCAATACAGACTAATGATTTTAGGACAGTGGTGGAGCGCCAGAGCCAGGTCCCAGCTTCCGATGACAGATTACCCTGTCAGTCCTCCTGATGATGGAGTTCTCATGAAAATGCCAAGTATCAGTACTGGTACTCGAAAAGTATCTGTGCATCCCTAATTATATACATTCATCCTGGCTGTAACACACTGAAAAAATAAAGACTAATACATACAGAATCTCCGGCTACTTTGACATACCCTAGAGCCTAGACATATAATCCAGAAATAAATTCAAAATATCAACAACCTTCAATCCATACAAAGGCAAAATCAGCAAAAAAAAACAACAATATACTTGTGCCATATTTATATACTTTTGTTATTTACAACTTAAATGGTAGTGTCCCTTTAAAATTGCCCAGCCTTGCTTTTTTGTAGTATGGCTCATACCTCTTTGGTGGCTAAGCTACACTAATATCTTTCTATTTCTATTTTTCAACCTCAAGGAATGACAGATTGTATGATTAAAGTGTAACAGCCAATCAAGGTATATTGGGTTTGTTGAACTTTATATGAGTAAATTAATCCAGATGATAGGGTAAGAACAAAATAAGGGGTCATTTACTGAGGGAACAGTACTGTGTGTGGTAGAACTCATTGCATTGCATTGCACATAAGATGTGTCCATTCTAGCATGGGTTTTTTCCAATTGTTCCAATATTCTCTCTCAAAATACCAAGATATACTGGAAGGTTAATTGCGATCAGGTTAAATTAGCCCAGGCCTGAATTCCCTATTCTGCCTTAGCTGGTCTTAAACCATGCTGAGAAAAGAGCAAGGTGGGTTCCAAGATAGCATGTGCCCATGTAAAAACCATTAGTCACAACAGAAAGAACATTGTGCTGTCCAATGGGAAAGGGAATGACTTGAGTCTATTTACAAAGGCTTATATCCTCTTATACATTTTTCACCCAGGTACAGCTTTGGAAAAGGACATACATTTGTTCCTGTTCTAGGCATGGGGGCAGTTGGGTTAATAGGAGACAAGCTTCCTATACTCTCGAACAAAACCACCGATGTATTGCTTCTACATTGAAATCGTTATTATAGCAATGCAGCCTATGTGAACCAAGATTTGGTTATTTTTGTTTTATGTATAATTAGTAATCGTTACTGAAACCCTGCTTCTTTTCAAAAGAAAAGGAAAAGGAGCCTTTTGCACAGGCTTCCCGCTCAGGTCTGACTTTCAGTTTTTTAGACGAAGTTGTTCGGAAGTCCAATGTTAGTCTATAGGCAGCTAGATCTAAATGGATTGGCGTCCAATTACATCCGATTACACCTGACTCCAGTCAGGTCCGGAAAAACAAATGGATCAGAGTTCTGTTTCACCGGACCCGATCGTGCCAGATCAGGGATAATCTAATGTAAACAGACACATGCTCATTTGAATTTGATTCCCCATAGACCAACATGGGTCCGGTAATTCCATTTTTTTCTTACATCAGAAGGATGGAAGGATGGTGACATCCATTCTGATCAGCTGTGGATCAGTGATGGATCTCCTCCTGATTAGACCGTGTAAAAGGGGCCATATTCTAGAGGGATTCTTTACAAACTGTACTATTTTAGCACCAGAAGTTAGCTACTGAAAAATCCTGTTATTGTAACAGTGCTAAAAAGTCATTCATTAGCTGTCTACCCTATGATTTATGGAAGGAAAGGCACTTCAACCTTTCCTGTGAGCCTGTTTCCTAAACTAGCTGAAGACCTTCTTTGGATGCACATAATTATGTGAATTTACATACAGAATTTTGCAGTGCATATACATGGTTTTTCCACTATGTAAATGATCTCTAATGCAAAGGTTTTTAATGTATTAGTTCGGTTACTATATACTTGAGCGTGTCTTGTTCTTATTTCAGGAGTCCTCACAGGAAATTGCACATTTTATGACAACGATACCAAATCTTGTGAGGTCTATGCTTGGTGCCCTGTGGAGAATGACCTCACAGTCCCTAAGTAGGTTATTTT